TGACATTTTAGCCAAAATGAATTGGAACTTAGAGGCAGCAGGTAATTTAAATTCTCATTAAAATAGCTACTGGAGCCGCTGGATCTGTCAATAGGTAAAAAATAAACAAACAGTGGAGCAGTTAGAACTAAGCAAAATCTTACATGTTTTAAACAATTGTTATCAGAAACATATATCCATGAATGACATGGAAGTCCTCAAACACAGGAAAACGATACATTTATCCGGATTCTATGGGCTATATGAAGAAGCTCCTTTTTGGAGAAAGCAAAATAAATTCATGTCTTAAACACTATATCTTATTTTTTTTTTTTTTTACCAAGAACTATATTTTTTGGTTGGACTATAAGTAACCTTACAATACATGAACTTGTAATATTCATGAAAAATATCATGTTGCCTGTTTATTTGTTTTTGTTTACAGTAAGATACACAATTTTAACTGAGTCTAACTTCATTATCTGTAGTTAAGGCTGAAAGACAAACCAAGTTTTCAGCTCCACTCAGATTCCTTGTTTATTGAAGAGAAGAAAATGAACATATGACTTCTGAATAAGAATATTTTAGTGGGAAGTTTATTTCCACTAGGATTCTGAAAGCAAAACACAACTTTGGGTAATGAGTTCTGAAATAAGGCAAAACAGTGAATTTTTTCATATTACATTATAGTGCCTTAAACTCTGTCTGCCATATAGTTTATGAAGATTTTCACTTTCTTTTGCAACATTCTTGCTTCCGAGTTGCTTACTTTGAGCAATTTCCAAAAGGAATAGAATTTCCCTTCAAAGAGACGATGTTTCACTGTTTCAAAGAAGTCTGCCACAGCTGTTAAAGATAATTCCAAAAGAGGAATTTTATGTATGTGCAAATGGTGGTTAAAATTGTAATAAGCACGTAGTCCTCAAAAGTGTCTGTTTTGGTTGGATAATTTAAGAAGGGGAGCGCCTATTAAAAGTCAGTCACAATGGTTCATACACATGCTTAATCCATGGAAGGCATCGCAACGTTTTATAGGACGCGGGGACATCACTGCCTGGGCTATAATAGAGGCCTGACGCAGCCTCACACAATAACAAGGAAGAGTCTGTATACAGAACAAGCACCATGTAGGGATATATAAAGGGTGAAGCCCAGTGAGGGGCTCAACCACAGCCTGTCTGAAAACCTCACTATGTCTTGCCCCAACTACTGCTCAGGAAACTGCAGCTCAGGAGCCCTCAGGAACTCCTGCCCGATTCCTGCCACCTCCTCCGTTGCCATCTGGTCTACCAATGTGAGCTGTGGCGATGCCCTCTGCTTACCCAGCAGCTGTCAAGACCGTACCTGGCTCACAGACAACTGCCAAGAGACCTGTGGTGAACCAGCCAGCTGCCAGCCAGCCAACCTTGAAACCTCATGCTGTTCTTCCTCTGGTTACTATGTGGCCAAACCCTGCCAAGGAACAAGTTTCCTTCCTGCTTCTCCCTTCACCTCCAGCTCCTACCTCCCAGGATCCTGTAGACCTCTGAGCTTTGTGTCCAGCAGCTGCGGTCCGCAGAACCCTCTATTCAATAGTGGCCAGCTCGTAGGAGGCTGTGTGCCCAGTGGCTGCCGTCCCTTACCCTGCTTGTCCACCAGCTGCCAACCCCAGGGCCTTCTCACCTATGGATA